CAAACTTCCTGATTTTACCATGCACATTTAGCCCGGCATAGAATACATCATCGCGAAAAGCGACACTTAATGAAATTTCGTAAACTCCGATGTCAGACACGGACTGCAGCAATGTCACTACTATGTTCTCAATACCTGCTATGTTTAACACTTTTTGGATTTTTTTGTGTATTACGAATTTATGATTAATCATTTTTTCTCGGAAATAGTCGCATTTCGGCTTATTTGAAATAGAAAAATCCATGTCCGTACGAATAATTCACGCAGTCTATTCATACGAAAAAAGAAAAAGCAATGAAAAACGTAATTCAAAAATTTCTAAAAGYAATCTAGTTAACCGTGATTAGAAARAATTAGTCGTGAGCCGTGAAATCGCCAAATTTCAAGCCGTGAATCGTGATRCGTACCACCCCATTGAGACCCTYCTGTACTAATACTTGTGTTGTCAGAASGKTGGCCGATACACCAATGGACACTACTTGGATCCGCCCCTATGTACACTTTATAGTAGTCGATAGGGTCACTTGTTTTTCGTKAATTGTTTGTAAGGGGRCGGTTTACAAGGGATTCTGTCGATGTAGAGCCAACTCTAGTAAGTTAGCGAAACGAAAAAAGRGTGGCACCTTAATTTGTSTAAAAGCACCTTAATTCGATGGTGCTTTATGTGTTTATTCTCTTCCATTTAACCAGTCCTTCTATATTATAYACCTATAGTATATGGTTAGCTGCACAAGTACTGAAAGTAAAATTGATTAAGGGGCTTGTGAGATTCCCCCTTAAGTAGTATACCGCAGTAACTCTTCGGCTATCTGGGATTCAAACAAGAAGGCTTGCCTCACTACCTCGAGATAAACCTTAGCACATGTTGAGTAGAGGTTACAAATTGAAACAAATACCTTTAGTTTGTCTTGAATTCTAGTAAAGACAGGTCGCCAAACCGTCCTAACTGTACAATGCTCATCCGAGTACTGGTCGAGTASTTTGATGTCTGTTCGATCGGTGTACTTATAACACATGATACACCATTCAGCTATTAAAACATTGCAACAAAAGACGTTTAATCAAGCTCATCATGTTTAAAGTTTCTCGTGTAACAAMTGTCAACATTTATGTGTAGCTGCATTCTAGAAACTTCCACCTTGATATGGTKTTTCTTTGTCGTTTCTTTTTAGCATTCTAATTTCGGGAAAGCCGAATAGCGAGTTTGCATGGAGTAGGGAGTTTGTGAGGTTGTCATTAAAGCGATCCTTCACTATCTTTGTGTTATATTTTCATTCTTACATTAAAAAGAACTTCTTAAGACATTTAATGCCGCAAAAGTTCTCTAAAAATACAGCTGATTTGTTAAGACAAACACACCCAACTTGTAGTTCGTCATCGGTTACTATTCAAKTTTGAGAAGTACGATTGTCATTTTGGCTCAGATTCGTAGAGCTTGGAAAGTAGATTATGTTATCTTATATCGGCCAGAAGAAGAGTCCCTTTGGTTACTTTTCGTTTAYTTTCCTTTGGGGGAGGGGGTGGGGACTGACCATTTGGTTTTGATTKTTKAACTACAAAGAAGCTAGTGGAGATTTTGCCTTAAAGGAGATTTATCTCGCCCTTCGTGGCGTGCATGACATTTATTTTCAATATCATCCATCCCAGGCTTCCAAACTCCAATAATCAGCACCTAATTTGATGAATGTTAGACACAGAAATCCAACCGACACAAGAAAATGTATTTCCTGAGTTCATCGTCCATGACAGAATTTCGTCCTTGAATTCATAAAACTCGAGACAGAATTCAATCCTAGCAAATCAGTTTCCGTCTTTTATTGTGTTGAAAGTTGGAAGAATCTGGTGCGAAACGGAGAGTTGTCCCATTTGCTTCTAGTATTTCGCTGTCTTAATGTCAGCAGGTAGTGAATCAGCTGGTTATTTTTACTCGGTTAAAAAAGAACTTGCTTAATATCAAATATCCAAAGATATTTGATCAATTGTGCACACTTTAAAACTAGTGTAAATTTGCTTGCGTTCTGGATATTGGAATCAATTGTACAGTTCATACCTGGTAATACATAGCATGTCAAGAAATATCCTTTATCATAAATATTTTGTATAGAATAAAGTACAAACACA